GCCGAGCCGGGCGGGAGACACCGGGGCCAGAGCCTCTTGGCCTGGGCCGGCCGGCCGCCAAAGGGAGCCGCTCGGCCGGGGGGCCGGACTGGGCCGCATCCCGCCCCAGCCCCAGCTTACCTGCTGCCTCCCTGTTTCAGGCTTCCCGCCATCATTTGATTCGCGGGAAGCAGGGGAGGGGGAGGAGCAGGGGGTGGAGCGTTCAGGGGAAGGGGCAGAGTTGGGGCGGGGACTTTGGGGAAGGGGCGGAGTTGGGACGGGGAAGGGGGACGGGGAACGGGCGGAGTTGGGGCAGGGCCAGGGCCCCGTGGCGTGTCCTCCTTTTTTAAAATTAAAATATGGTAACCTTAGACAATGGGGGGGGTCTGGTCTGCACCCCTGGGGGCCGTGTCCTGCCAGGGCCCATCTCCGTGCTCAGGCCCGGTCTCTGGGGGGCAGGCAATGGGGGGTCTGGCCTGCACCCCTGGAGGCCGTGTTCTGCCAGGGCCCAGCTCTGTGCTCAGGCCCAGTCTCTGGGGGGCAGGCAATGGAGGGGGGTCTGGCCTGCACCCCTGGGGGTCATGTCCTGCCAGGGCCCAGCTCCATGCTCAGGCCCGGTCTCTGGGGGGCAGACAATGGGTATCCCCAGATGTGCCTGCCCCTCCCGGGCCCCTCACTCACCCTGACGTGCTCTCGGACGCGGAAGTGGTCGGTGTAGCTCTCCAGATAGGCCAGCACGTCCGAGTGGTGCAGGAAGGACGGCAGGGAGGGGTCGAAGGGGAAGTCTGGGAACGCCATCACCTCCTTGGGCAGGTTTGTCCTGGGGGGTGTGAACGCCAGTTAACCCCCCTCCTCGCCAGGATGGCGGTGCCGCCCTCCCCCCCCCCAGGTCCCCCATCCCCTCCTGCATCTGCCTGCCCCTTCCAGGGCTCGGCACCCCCAGGACTGACCCACGTGGGTAGCAGAGGGTGTCCCAGCTGCAGCGGGAAATGGGGGAAGTGTGGAGGGGGAGGCGAGTGAGGAGACAGACTCCCCTGGGAGGATGGGGGGGGGGGCGTAGTCTCAGGGGAGGGGATCCTACCCTCACACACACACACACACACACACTTGGAGGCCTGGCAAGCTCCTCTGCCCCTGCCTGGTGCCCGGAAGCACACGGCACCCGCAGCCCCGCGCCGGCTACCTGAGGTCCCGGTACATGCTGGAGTGGACGGGGAGCCCATCCGGTCTCTGCCCTGTCTCTTCGGTATAGACCCAGGTGCCCCCGATGCGGCTGGACGCCTCGAACACCACGGGGGGCGCAAAGGACTCGGGGCGGGCAACGATGTGACGGGCCGCACACAGCCCGGCTGCTCCTGCCCCGATCACCGCCACCCGCAGCTTCCCTGGGGCCGTCATCCTACAGTGCGGCTGGGAACAGGCAAAGCAGAGGGGATGAGAGTTGGGGGCCCAGGCCTCTCTCGCGCCCACTCACCCAAAAACTCCCTGCAACTGCCACAACCCCCCAAAGTTCCCCATTGCCCCTCACCCCTAGATCTCCAAACAGCCACACCCCCATAACTGCCCCCCACTTTCTTCCCCCTGCCTCCTCCATAGAACAGGCTCCTACCCCATTCACAGGCACAAAAACTGCGTCCAAACCCTGCGTGGACTTTGGCCACATCTCGCAGACACTCAGCGGATTCCCCACAGGCCGTCACGCTGGCGTGGTCACCAGGGGAAAACTTTTATAAAGAGTTTGGCACCCATATCCCTAGCACCTCCCCACCACTGACCCCGGACAAACTAGTTACACCAACAGGGATTCCTCGCCCGCACTGAGATGCAGCTGCCTCTGGGGTGGAGGGTTAGGATTATTTATAGAGATGTAAGGGACCGGGTAAAAAAAAAGTGGAGGAGGGGGATTTTTTTTTTTAATGTTTCTGAAGCCTAGTCTGGAAACCTTGGGCATATTGAGAAAAATGGAAAATAAACTAGTATATGAAATATTTTCTCTCAGAAAGAACAGTGCAAGAATTTTTAGTGTTATGTTTAAGATAATATTTTAGTGCAGTCCTTCAAAAATGCTTTCTACTAGTAACTGGTACGTTTTTACAATTAATCAAATGTTTCTCTAGAAACACGAGTTTCTTCTATTTCTGCATGATAATGTCAGTCATTTCTGAGCCCACAGGATACAACCTTCCTCCTTTGTTATAACAATATTGATGTATTCTGTTGTCAACATTTTTTTCTTGTTTGCCAACAGGCAAAAAAAAAAAAAAAAAAAAACACCTAAGTGCCCCAATACCAAAACTAAATAATTTATACTTATTTCAGATAGATACTAAACAAGATTTTGTTAAGTTTCAGAGTAGCAGCCGTGTTAGTCTGTATCCGCAAAAAGAACAGGAGTACTTGTGGCACCTTAGAGACTAACAAATTTATTAGAGCATAAGCTTTCGTGGGTAAGAACCTCACTTCTCCAGATGCAAGATTTTGTTAGGTGCTAACTAAATTCTACACAATACCCATTTGATTCTTAAAGAAATAAACGAAGTTTAATGACAGGTTTCAGAGTAACAGCCGTGTTAGTCTGTATCCGCAAAAAGAAGAGGAGTACTTGTGGCACCTTAGAGACTAACAAATTTATTAGAGCATAAGCTTTCGTGGGTAAGAACCTCACTTCTCCAGATGCAAGATTTTGTTAGGTGCTAACTAAATT